TGATATCTTACACAGTAGAAGCACCTTACCCTAAAAATCCATTCCCACTCTAGTTTACAAAAACCTAAACTCCATTTCCACACCACTTTTATGGGTACAGTTAATTACCTATCAAGCATCCATCCCTAGACCCTCTTCATATATCCTCTAATAAAATTTCCTAAAAACCACATTTTTGAAGTATCTCTGAGCTCCAATGTAAGTAAATGAACCATTTTACACCAGGAGTAGTGATTCAAGGATCAAAAGTAGCCCAGTTGGCTTAAGCTTATCTGCATATTCCATTCCCTTGGCTGAAGTCATTGTTTAAGGAATGGTCATGGGATTTCAGCAGTAGTATTAGTGTAAATCTTCAATCTTTCATTCAAAATATTGGCATGGACCTAGACCTAAAAGGAAGATGATGCTGATACCAATAATAACAGGACATGGATGTGAAAGGAGGTTGGGGGGAATCAATGAGAGTAGAGAGGAACAAGGAAAGGACACTGACAGGTGAAGGAGACTGAAGTATGTTCTCTCTCCCTCTCTAAATATATGAAGACAGAATAATGAAACCTATCAAAAACTGTTCGTATAAAGGAGGGAGGAGAGAGGAAGGAAATGGGAATATAATGGAGGAGGTGAAGTTGTTCAGGGTACATTGTATGCATGTATGGAATTTTCACAATGAAACCCCCTCATATTATTAATATATGGTAATTTGGAACTATAATTTAAAAAATACTGGCATGAGTGCATTTTCTCCTTGCATATGAACCAAGAGGCAAGTACTCAATTTTTCATCCAAATAGCCATTCTATCATATAGGGTTCCAGGTTTAGAAGTGATAAGATTTTAAAATTTAATTAAATAATAATTACTTAGATCCTTGATAGTACCTGAATCCTGTGATGAACAACCAAAAGCAGTCCTTAACCTCTGTCATCTATTTTCTTGTACCAATAACTCCTTTTTATGTATAACCTAAGTTGGATTTTCTGTTATTTGCAATATGCATGAAAAGTAAAAGTAAATATGAAACCAGATGTAACAGTATTATAAAACAACTAGAAGTGATGTGTGTGTGTGTGTGTGTGTGTAAACAAACAGGCCTCTAAAAAAGAGAATGAAAAACACAAATACAGCAAAACAAAATGTCCATGGGTTGGCTTAATGGCATTTGGCCCTGGAAAGATAAATGGGAAACCACGCACCCCCCCTATTTTAATGTTCATCCCTACTTGGATATTTATAAGCTAGACCGAAATAGCAACAATTTTTGGTAGCATGTTACTTCAAGTCACATAAATCCCTTTCTGCTAGGAGGGAGGGTTGAGCCTACCTAGAGGTTTGGAGGGAGCGGGGAAAGAGAGGAGAAGGGAAGCTGGTGGGAAGGGAGAGAGAATAAACTCCAAAGTTCTTTTTCCAAATGCTGACAGGCCACAGGCACAGCCTCTTTAGCCTTCCAAATCACCCTAGATAAAATCTTCAGTTGTCTTCTACACCTTTAACAACCTCACCCCTAAGCAATCTATCAGTTATTCCTACTAAGTCTGTGTTGAAAATATGCCTGATATTCACTTCTTTTTTTTTTTTCATTTCCAAGAACAATGCCCAAGGTCAGACCTTTATCTTTTATCTCAACTACTGCAATTGTCCTTAAACTAGTCTCCCTGTACCTTATCTTTCTGCCTGTCCAATGTATCATTTACAGGGCTACTGGCTCCATAGAGAAAACAGGACTGTATTTGATTTATCTTTGGATCCTCTTCTTCTTTCCTATGTCTCCTCTCCTAAATGTCTGTTGAAATTATTTTATGCATGCCACTTCTCAAAATCTGACAAATTTTTGATGGGGATATTTGGTTTCAGAAAATAGTCATCCAGATTGTACACCATGATCCCCTTCAGCTGAGTTTGCCAGTATTTCCTCCTGGAGATGGTTCCCATTACATGAAACGACATCTACTGGAGCATATAAGCAATTAGTCTTTGCAAATGCCTTGCCCTCCCTCTGTAAAATTCTGTTTCCTTTGGATCTACTTAAGAAATATTTGCTAGTCCTTCCACATTCAATTTTAACATTCCCTCCTTCATAAACTCTTCTCTAATACTACATTCAGGTTACATTCCTTCATTTTCTGTCCTTTGAGTTGACTTTATTTATATTTATATTTCTGTTTTGACATTTATGTGACTCTGCCTCATCTTATACTAAAATTGGGGTAGACCTATCTACTTATTAAACTTCTTTCCTAGTAGTAAGCAAATTGCCTTGTATTTCAGGATGTGGTTACCTTTCTCCTCTGTCTGTTATTCCTTCCCAAGATTCATTCTTGTATTCTCTGTACTTAGCAAAGCAAATAGCACTCAATACATGCTTCTGTAAATATTTCTTGAATAAATAAATAATTTCCCAAGGGACTAAGTGTTATTTGAGGATGGGTATTATACCTTATTGATTTATATTTCTCACAGCAGCTAGAAAAAACTAAGTAACAGAAACCGCTTGAATAAAATATTAGGTTTTGATTTTGTCTCTAGAGTTACTGAATGTTTGCCTAACCCTAGGAAAATTTGTCATTTCTTCACTCCAAAAATATCTGATCATTTTATATATGCCAAAATGTATTACATGAGTTGGAGACAGAATTGTAAACAAGATAAATTACACATATGTTAAAGTGGGGGGAAAGCTGCATATACTAATAAATCAATCCCCTCTCCAAGTTTTTACTAACACCTGAACAGTTAACTATTCTCAAGCAAGCTTATAAACAGAGAGGCATTATGGCTTCTCTCTATCCCTTGCTTCAGGGGTTATGTGACAAAATGTAAAACTACTACCACTAATTTTCATATTGTGAAAATTTCTAACAAAAGGAAAATATAGAAAAATGGAATTTATACCAAAAAATCCATAACTATTTAAAGAACTATTTAATTAAAAAAAAAGAACCAGTCTATGGATACATTATGATAACCATGTGTGATGTTTTTCTGACTCCAAATTTCAAATTATATAAAGGAAAAAGGCAGAAATTCTAATGATGCTTATATTGTAGCTTTAATTCTTTCTTCTTCTTCTTCTTTCTTCTCCTCCTCCTCCGCCTCCTCCTCCTCCCCCACCCCTCTCCCACTTCTTCTTCTTTTTTTTGTGTGTCAGAATTTTAACCCAAGGCTTTACATACAGGATAGAAAACACTCCATTACTGAGCTATACCCTCAAATTTTATTTAAAAAAAAAAAGGAACTGGGGAAAGATGATGATGACAATGATGTTTGCATTTTCCTCCTTCTCTTTAATTCTAATACTATCCCCTCAGTCCTTTTTATGCCTCCTTTGGGAACAACTAAAATTGCTCACTAAGTATTCTTTCCACTTTCATGTTTCCCTTCTCCAACATTGCCTTTCAGTACTGACAAAATACTTTCCTTACAAAGCATCATCTTTTACATTACAGCACTGCTCACAATCTTTGCATGGCAGATAGTGCCTTTGTATGGCAGCCACAGGGGAATATTATTCAAACTCTTTAGCTTCATACACAAGGAACCTTCCAAAATCTATTTCCAATATCTTTCCACAGTTAATTGCACTTTCTTCCTATAATCCAGACTTCCACCAAATTAGCTTTTGATTTTATACCTTTGGACCTCTCTCTTGGTACTTTTCCATTTTATTCAATTTCTACCTGTATCTCAAGGCTTGATTCAAGGACCCTGAATTTATCTGTAATATTTCTTCTTGCCTATAAAAGTACAATTTTCTTTGTACTTTTTTGTCCTCTAAGCTTACCTTCATATTTTGGTTATTTACCAAAAAAGTGTATGTATCCAACTACAGTATACAATCATTCATTCCATAAGCATTTATTAAGCATTTATTGTCTTTCCATTATACTGAAGCATCTAAAACCTAGCATATTCATAGTAAATGTTAAGTAATTTTTTCTTGAATGAAGGCAAATTATCAGTCAAATGAAAATGCATCTGAAATCAAAACAATCTTTTTCAAAATATGACCAAATATCAGTACTCAAAAAGACAACAGGAATTGTAGCAAAGTACTGCTTATGAAACTTAAGTATTTATGACAGAAAATGGGTAAGGTAGTTGAAAACAGATCAAATAAAAAGCTAAGAAAACTTAAACTAATATAGAAATATTGATTCAGTCTTGCCTACTTCAATTCCTTGATGTACCTGTCATTTCAAGATATAAATTCATAAATGTACATGTATTCATTAAGTCCATCAATTGGGAATAATATCACTGTCAGAATTTACAGAAATAAGAATCATAGAAAAATGTTCCTAAGATATCACCTAATAATTTTTGTGAAATTTAATAAAATTTTTTGTAGTGAAATTTTTTTCCTTTTCATTCCTAAGGAAACAGCTTGAGAAGATGATTGATGTCTGCTATTATGGGTCTATATTTGTATTTCCTTATTTTAGAAGCTTTTCAAAAGTATATTTAAAACATTTCCAGTTATTCAAAAAAGAAAGGTAAAAGGTGATTATTTATAGACAATCATATTCATGATGATAGACTCTCAGAAAGCAAATGCAAACATAAATTTTAAGTGCCTTTTCGAAAGAGGTGGAAATAAAAACATTTACATAATTTCTTAGAAACCTTGGCTTTTTATTACTGAATTTCAATATTCCCTCAGGGCAAAGGAGCAGCTACTTCAAAGATTCATTTGATAGTAGAAAGTTTGATTTCTTTGTTTTCCCTTTCCAATATGAGAATTCTACACATTTCACTCTACCACAGTGTATTATGTTTTAAATTCTGAATTATCGCACTATGGAGAATTTAAAAATTGGTTCTGTTTTGGCAGACTAAACAAATAAATCAATGATAGCAATAAATACATAGACATAAAAACATTTTATGAATATATACATTATTACACAATAGTCCATTCTGATATTGGTCATCTTCAATAACAGTTCTGCCACTTTAAATATAACTACCAACTGATATCAAATGTCCAAAACTTTACTTACCTGCCTATCCACTTCTGGGAGCAGAAGCAGGAGGTATTGCTGAAAATGCTGAGGTAAGGAAGCAAATGTATGTTTATTTATTAATGCCCTCAAGTTAGTGTTGACAAGAATAGATCCTGGGGTTTCTATGTCAATGTCCTCAGCTTTGGTCCATTTCAAGTGTCCTGTGATGAACAAGCAAGAGGTAGAAATTTACCACAGATTGAGAAAAACACACATGCACACACATGTAAATGCACATACTGAATATACATATTCAATAATATGCTTGATTCTATTCCTTTGACTTTCAGAAAAAGTCATCCACAATGCCTCTTTAATAAGATTTGTGTCTGGTCTAAGTTATATTTCATTTAACATCTTAAATTTTTTCAACTCAAAGTAGCACCAGGTCCCAATAAAGAAGCATTTTAATTATGTACTTCTAATTGATCAAAAATTTACAAACTAAAGAAGTGTAAACAGTAACAACTATAATTTATATAAGTTCTATAAGCCTTAGGTTTGATATGCTGCTTTGGAGATATATATTTAAAATAAAAATCACATAGGCAGGTAAAATTAGGAGATAAACTATCAAATACTGACCAGAGATTCAAACAATAAAAAAATCAATAACACAATATTAACATGATTAACAAATGCAGAAAACATTATTGGGATGAAAATTATCAATTCTTACAACTATAAGAAATAATTATCTGGAAATATACAGTGACCTTGAACCTCCATCCATGTAAACAGTACAGTTTCAAAAGATATAAAATTGAGAGAACTAAAAAAAAATAAGTAAAATGCTAACATCATAATGGAAGGAGGAAGTCTTAATGTGTGTTCCCAACATTGATAAATAAGATTAAAAATTTACTGTAAGAATACAGAGGACTTTGACTACCCAGAATTCACTTTTGATCAAGTGAATTTAACATTGGGCACTGCTCTGTGCTCTTAGACAAAACAACTGCTCTTCCCAGCACTCAAGGTACAATAAGAAAAAATGTCACAATTGACTTAGTGATTCTCAACAAATACTGAAGAATTCGGATAAAACTTCATCTCTGTGTCCATAAAGAAATAAAGCTAGGCAAAACACAAAGACAGCAACTCTTCAATACCCTGCAAATTCACTATTTATTTAGACATTCATAGGCACACTGAATACTTCATGAGTCAGAGAAAAAAATTATAATGGAAATTTAAGAGTTAATGCCAAAACTTATAAGATGCTGCTCAACTGCTTTTCAAAGTAAATTATATATATGAGGAGGTAGATTTAAAAATAAGATTGAAAATTCAAGGGCAAAGTATTCAAATAATGAAGTTAATAAATCAACCAAAGAATAAAACCTCAAGAAAGAAGGAAAGATTATAAGAATAAGGGTGAACATACATGCAAAAGAAAAGAATAATGAATACCATCAATAATAAAAAGGTTGACTTTTTAAAAAATTAAACAAAAAAAATAGAAATCTCTTGTCAGAGATGGCACAAAATTTAATAGGAATTAAAAGTAAGGACATTATACTAGATATAGAGCAGTTTTAAAAGGCAGATATAATTACAAAAGATAGATTTAAAAGATAATAATGTAGTATGATGCCTTTTATCAATATCTTCGAAGACAGACAAACTATTTTAAGGCTATAAACTTCCAAATTTAACTTAAAAACAGAAAACACAGATATACTTTTAAAAACTTTTTTTGTTGTTTTTTGAGAGAGGGTCTCACTAGGTAGCCCAGGATGGCCTTGAACTTTCAATCCTCCTGCCTCTGCCTCTGAAGTATTAGGATTACAGTCACAGAAATCACTATGTGCGGCAAATTTATTTTAAAAGTCAATCAGTAGGCAATCCTCACCATATATACTCAAAACCCAAATTATAAGTAGTTCTTAAGATGAATTTAATATAGGATGGAGGATTTTTATCTTTTCTTAGAATTCTCCCCCTTCTTTATTTTATACAGGTTCCAGAAAAGAGGTCTATAACGGAAGCTCCTTAATTCATTTTATGAATTTACTATAACCTTTATTCCCAAGAACAAATAAGGAGAACTGGAGGTGAGACTTAAGTGGTAGAGAACCTGCTTTGCAATCAGTTGTGAAGCCTTAAATACAAACCCCAGTCCCACCAAAAAAAAAAAAAAGAAAGGACAGTATTAGAAAATGAAAATGATTGGCCAATCTTACTTATAAATACTCAAAAAGTAAACAAGTTACATTCATTTTTAAAAGTCTACCATTCTGGAGAAAAACTGAAACCATTTCCCCTAAAATCAGGAGTGAGACAAGGGTGCCCACTCTCCCCACTCCTACTCAACATAGTCCTAGAATTCCTAGCTAGAGCAATAAGGCAAGAAGAAATAAAAGGAATACAAATAGGTAAAGAAACTGTCAGACTATCCCTATTTGCAGACGACATGATCCTATACCTCAAAGACCCAAAAAATTCTACCCAAAAACACCTAGACACCATAAACAGCTTCAGCAATGTGGCAGAATACAATATCAACTAACAAAAATCATGAGCTTTTCTGTACAATAACTATGAACAAAATGAGAAAGAATATATGAAAACAATTCCATTCACAATAGCCTCAAAAAAATTAAATAGCTAGGAGTAAACTTAACAAAGGATGTGAATGAACTCTACAAGGAGAACTACAAACCCCTGAAGAAAGAGACTGAGGAAGACTACAGAAGGTGGAAAGATCTCCTGTGTTCATGGATTGGTAGAATCAACATAGTAAAAATGGCTGTACTACCAAAAGCAATCTACATGTTCCATGGAATTCCCATCAAAATCCCAATGACATTCATCACAGATATTGAAAAATTACCCTAAAGTTCATTTGGAAATACAAGAGACCACAAATAGCAAAGGCAATACTCAGCAAAAAGAGCAATGCCGGAGATATCACAATACCTGACTTCAAACTATATTTCAAAGCAATAGCAATAAAAACAGTATAGTACTAGCACAAAAACAGATATGAAGACCAGTGAAACAGTATAGAGGACCTGGATAAGAATCCACACAGCTATGTCCACTTTCTTTTTGACAAAGTTGCCAAAAACATATGATGGAAAATAACCTCTTCAGCAAATATTGCTGGAAAAAGTGGTTATCTGCTTTCAGAAAACTGAAACTAGATCCATGTTTATCACCCCGTACTAGTATCAACTCAAAATGGATTAAGGACCTTAATATCAGACCTGAAACTCTGAAGTTAGTACAGGAAAGAGCAGGGAATACTCCAGAAGCAATAGGTAAGGCAAGGAATTCCTCAATAGAACCCCAGCAGCCCAGCAACTAAGAGAAAGGATGGACAAATGGGACTACATGAAATTAAAAAGCTTCTGTACAACAAAAGACATGGTCTCTAAACTAAAGGGACCACCCACAGAGTGTGAGAAAATATTTTCTGGCTATACATCAGACAAAGGACTGATAACCAGAATATACAAGGAACTTAAAAAGCTAAACTCCCCCCAAATCAATGAACCAATAAAGAAATGGGCAACTGAACTAAAAAGAACTTTTTCAAGGAAGAAATCCAAATGGCCAAAAACACATGAAAAAATGCTCACCATCTCTGGCCATTAAGAAAATGCAAATCAAAACAAGTGTTGTAACACATGTGTATATGGAAGCAATGCTAGGAATATTTCTGTATAGCTATCCTTAACTCAAGTAGCAAAAATGCTTTGTCTTCCTTATAATGCTTATGTCTTTTCTTCAACAAAATTAGAGATAAGGGCAGAACAGATTCTGCCTGGAAGTGAGGGAGGAGGGGGAGAAAGGGTAGAGGAGGGGCAGGGGGGAGAAATGAACCAAACAATATATGCACATGTGAATAAATGAATAATTTTAAAAAAGCACCTCACCCCTGTCAGAACAGCTATCATCACGAACACCAACAATAAATGTTGGCGAAGACGTGGAGAATCTAAGCTAGTACACTACTGGTGGGAATCTAAGCTAGTACACTACTGGTGGGAATGTAAACTAGTACGGCCACTTTGGAAACGTGACTCAGGTTATTCCATAGACCTACACACCCATGTTTATTGTAGCGCTATTCACAATAGCCAAGTTATGGAAACAGCCAAAATTCCCCACTACAGACGAATGGATTAAGAAAATGTGTAATTTATACACAATGGAATTTTACTCAGCCATGAAGAAGAATGAAATCTTGTCATTTGCAAGTAAATGTATGGAACTGGAGAACATCATTCTGAGCGAGGTTAGCCAGGCTCAGATTCAGAAGGAATAGGGAAAGGTAGGGAACCCAAAGCTTGAAAGTGTTTGATGTGTCCACTGTAGAGGAGTTAATTAAGTAATCTTAAACTGACAGAGGTCACTATGGGAAGGTGACTGGGAAGTAGTGAAAAGGTCAGATAGAGATGAATCAATTTGGGTTGTAATACACTTGTGCATGGAAGCAATGCTAGGAAACCCTCTGTATAGCTATCCTTATCTCAAACTAGCGAAAAAGCTATGTCTTTCTTATTATTGCTTGTCTTCTCTTCAACAAAACTGGAGAAGTGGGCAGAACACGTTCTGCCTGGAAGCAAGTGGGATGGGCGGGGACAGGGATGGGGCGGAGGTCAGTGGGGAGAGATGGTCCAAACAATGTATGCACATATGAATAAATGAATAAATAAACCAAAAAAAGGAAAAGAAAATAAAAGTCTGCCATTCTGAGTCATGTTGATCGGTATATTTGTGTCTCTTTTATTAGTATCAGCACTTTTTGTATGTTTGAAGTATTTCACACACACAAAAAAACTGTAAGAAGAGAAGAAATAGAAGAAGTCTCTTTTCTCAGCAATAGAAACAGATGCAAAATCTACAGAATTCTGGGAAATATAAAAGGGAATTTGCTTCATTCTTCTGTGGGCTAAATATTGTCTTACAAAGGTATTGAGGTGATTTCTTGAGAGCAACTATGATTTGAGAGGAATTCTGAGAAGTTGAAAGTAGAGTTTTGGAAATGTGAGGAGGACCAACACTGCTACTATTTAGAATGGTTTAAAGTCTTTAAGAATGTCATAGAAAAAAAGTACCAAAGTGCATGGTCTTTTAAGACAAAGCCTACAGAAGATCTATTTCCAACATGTCCACCTAAGCAGAAATATGTGTTATAATTTTGGAACAAAGAGCAGATGAACTAAATTTGTTGCTACAGAGGATGATTAATTCCATTTTAATTATCCTTACACATGTACTCTTAATTGGCTTAAGAACAATCCAATTATATATGATTGTCTTATCTCATTAAAGCTGGTACTTCAAATCTCCCTATAGTCTGAGAGAAGGAAAAAGATGCAGTCATTTTAGTGTCTTAATTCCCAGACACTTAGCCTAGAGGGTCTGCAGTAGCTGAAGCAGGGCAAAGGAGTCAGGAAAGCAACAATTATGGAACTGCCACACTAAGAGTCTATGGTCTACAACAGACTTTATGGTAATAGTGTGGGGAATGAGTCCAGTAGGGTCAGAGCAAGTCCCTGTTATTTTGGACAGAGGGAGTTTTGAAACCACCCATCATTAAAGACTGTGGAGTACCTGTTGATCTAGGGTAGTCTGACAGCTTCAAGACTTATATGTCCAGAAGGAACAAGCATAGGAATTATGCATAAAATGTGTACAAGTAGAGACATGAACACTCACAGACGGATGAAGCACACACAGGACGCAGACCAGGCAGAAAAGAGGAACTGCCCAAACAGTTCCTCATTGTCTCAAAGAAACTGGAGAGGGGTAATTCTGAAACAGTTCAGATGAAATAAGCAGGTTTTCAAAGAGGAAATTCTAAGAGGCAAATGTATCAACAGACAAAAATCTGCAAATTTAACATAAACAATAGGAATCAACATACCTTCACAAATGAAGAAATTGTATAAAAGTAACAGAGCACCGAATCCATTAAAATATGGAACTCGAGTTAAAGGACTACAAGCATTATGATTAAGCAAACAGAATATAAATGTTATCAATCTTGATGTCTAAAAGCTAACATAACAAAAACATGGAGATACAGGAGACTGGAAGGATAATTACTTCTTTTTCTTTTATAATATATCATCCAAAGTTGAAATGAATAGCTAAAAAGATAATCAGTTATACTTCAGTTATATATTTTTAATATCTTTGAAGAGATATGAATAGATCTTGGGGCAATGTTTAACAATTTTGGTTTCTGGTTTTACTTCAGTTTCTTATTTAGTCTAAAATTAATTAAATTTAGTTATTTTAATTAAAATGAATGGTGAAAGATAATCTCTGGCTATAAATAAGCATTAAGAAATGTCAAATAATGTTTATAAAACACTGAGGATAATTATTTTGGATGTGAGGATATTGGTTATTCAATTTTTATTCTTTCTTTGCTGCATGGGTTTATTTAAAGAGTATGGAACAGTTTTAAAAACTAGTGAAGTTATAATTCTTTACTACAGAAAGATTAAACCAAAAAAAAAATGTTGGAATAAATCCCAGAAGCTGGGTTCAGTGAGAACATTATTAAAAATCCCTCAAAGACATCCATTAGAAGCTTAGATTTGTTTAGGAGGCACTTTCTAACTCCTACTCTATGACTGGGTATAAAAGCATAATTAAAAACTGGTTTAGGTCAAAGACACCAAATTCAAGAACCTTACATTTTACTTAAGGAAACGTGAGAAAACAAGGAAAATGAAATAAGAGAAATTAATAAGCAGATGATAGTTAGGGCAGTGAAAGTATTCTATTTGGTTCTACAATGGTAGATACATTTTATATTTGTGAGAACCAAAAGAATATACAACACAAGAGTAAACCCCAAGTAAACTATCTATGTGATAAGGATGTATGTTAATGTTACTAATTATTAGTAACAATGGACCACTTTGGTGCAGGATGGCACTAATAGAGAAATTTGTCCTTTGGGGGGAGGGGACATAAGGAAACTGTATTTCTGTCCTCAATTCTGTAGTGATTTCTTGACTGCAAAGTTCTCAGGAAAATACACAGGGTCCACTGTGTCTTTGGCTAACCCATTAGATCTCAGGCAAAACCTACACCTTTAGCAGGATGACTATCCTGCAATTTGGCAAGTTAAGTAATTTCTAGAGATGGAGATGAAACACTTGAGGAATAATTATAGATGTGATTTTCATACTGTTAGGGAAATCTCACAATGAGAATGAAAATTTAAAGCTTACACCATACAGTATAATTTTTCCTAGATTTTATTTCAGAATTATCAGAACAGACTTATAGCATTGGTTTTAATTCAGAATGGTTTCAACAGGTGAGGACTTGTATACACAGCTATCCCTACCAAGAGAAAGCAATGAAAGTTAAAAACACAACTCTGAAACTGTATCAATTTGACATCTGACTCAAGTGAGAGAAACAGAGGAAGAAGAGTCAGTTCTCACCATCTGGCTGGCAGAGGGCTGTGGGGTGGTGTCATTCATAGCTACAAGTTCTGTTGCTACACATAGGTTCACAAAGAATGTCCTTGCCCAAACACAGAGATCATTTTCATACAAGGCATAAGTAGCTGAATTCATCCAGACTGACTTACTAGCTCACTCAGGTAATTACAACCATTCATTCATTCAGTACTTACTCAGCACCTACTAAACAAGAGGAATATAATGGGTACAGTTGGAACCACAAGTAGACATGAAGACCACTGTTCCCAAGAAGCCAACAATTTATTGGCAAAGAGGGAGAGCAGATGTACAGAGTTCTAAATATCCAAAATTCATAATGAAATCCATTTAAAAATGCAAGAAAGATGTTTTAAAGGCATGCGGGTGGGAGGTAAGGATAGGAAAGAGTTATTATAGAGGGCGTGAATATGATCACAGTATATTACATGCGTGAATGAAATATCCCACTGGACTCCCCTATCTTACACAATAGGCACTAATAAAAATGTTATGAAAAATAACCATCTAAAAGAGACATGGGCTGGGTAGTTAGGTTTAAGGATCTTTTCAGCTTTCACATTTTATACTGCCAGGCATATATTGGAAGTTTAACAAGTACTACTGACTTCATTTGCACAAAATAAGCCATCTCATTTAGCTGCTTGCTAGGTTAGTGAGTCACAGTTCCTTCCCAGTAATCACTAGTAGTTTACTCTTCTCAGGTTTCTACCTTAATTGATTTACTTTACATCCCACCATTTTCTTCCTCCTGTTCAATACAGGATTGTCCAGGAAATATTACAGCTGTCAGCTCTCCTTCCCTATGTAACTAGTACCTGAACTTTTAACACTCGTGACAGTCTCGTCATGCCGTATAGTGCTAAGATGTGCCGCAGTACTACCTACAAGTATGGAATAGGGATAGATGGTTTGACATTAAGATCTATCCAAGATCAAAGGCTCCAACTGTGAAGGCCAGATGTGCCTTGCTTCTGTCTTTGCTGTGTCACTGATAAGCAACCTCCGTCACCTCTCTGGACCTCAATTTCTTTAGCTGTAAAATGAAGAGTTTTGTTTTTGTTTTTGAAACGGGGTTTTGCTATGAAGCTCAGGCTGGCCTCAATCTCATGATACCCTTACCTCAGCCTCCCAAGTGCCGGAATTAAAGTATGTGCCACTGCATCTGGCTTAGCAGAGTATTTTTAACTACTAAAGGTCACTGACCTATAAATCAATTTGTAATGGTAACATGGTTCTGTTTTAGACACACACACACACACCACATTCTATATATGTCATTCTCTCACTGTAGTATTCTACTTCTGGAGCTACTTACAACCCAAAGTACTAGGAAAAAAACCAGTATATATGTACATGTACACATGACACAAAGAGATACATTTAGGGTTAGACAATAATTATAAAATTAGACAGTCTTAGAAATAATGTAAAATATTTAATTATACTGTATTGAAGAATCTAAATTTTTTAAAAAATCTGTTTTCCCAGAAATCTCTTAACTAAATACATAATAAATCCTATTCAAAGGCTTTTTATTGGAAGTATGGTCCCAGAATTTAGCAAAATGACTGGCATAGAGTAGGCAATCAAAAAATTTTACCAAAAAAAATGAATCTGGTTTAAACTTTATAAGAAGATACGCTCTGTAAATAAAAATGATACTAAATTTACTAGAAAGTAAGTAGCAGAATCAGTAATATAGTGCAGGTCAATAAATTTGTAGTTTCTAGGACCATCTACCTACCCCTACTCACACATAAAATAACTAAAAGATAGACATGAAGTCATTAGGTCCAGGTCATTCAACAAGACAAAGGTCAACAATTATAATGTTCAGTCCAAGAAGCATTTATTTTTGTCTTTTTAATTCTCATTTTTATTCTCAAATACTGTGCTTGGGTTCCCACTGAAGTTACTAGGAAGGAGCTGTTTAGAAGAAAACTTGGTTTTAACTGATGAGACCCACAGACTGTGAATCCCATACTTCTTAGCAGTTCTATACCTTTTATCAGATAGGTGCTAAGAGACAAAACGCAAGGCAGGGCAGTTTACTGTAGTGGACCCAGTGATGACGTACTCCTCTTAGGAAGGATGTTTAAGGCATCTTTCCCTGATACGGTACATTCCAAATAAGCACATTCTGTCTAGCTTCACAGACAAAACGCTGTACATTAAACAAATCATAACTAGGCAGGTTATACTTTGAATACATATTTTTCAAGTCTGTTATCTTTACTTTCTGCTTCATCCAATATTATTGTTTACAAATACAAAGCTTAAGCCTATTCAATTGTAACTACAAGGTTTCTTTACTTCGCATCCTTTTTGGTTTAGATAAATGGACAGATATTTTGATTTCATTGTTCAAACACTAAAAAAATGTTCTGGAACTAGTCTATAATTTATTTGAAAATATACCTGTTAAATGTGAATTCTTATAGTCTATTAAACACTCACCTAAACCAGACTTTTTCAATCGTTTTAAGTGCTGACTTGTTTGTTTTCCAGTGGGAGATTTTTGCCCATGTTTCATTTCTTTATCTGAACTGTCTGCTTCACCATTTTTAGATTCGGATCCTAAAAAAGGAAATAGTTATTATGCCATTATCTTCTTCTCACTGTCCTTGGAAAGAAAAATCTAAAATTGTTTTAAGAACTACAGATATAATCTTTTTTTCCCCAAGAGTTAATATACTACCTTTGGCCACAATCTGATTCCCCTACTGGATATAAAGAGAAAAGCCCAATAAATCAATCAAACAGGACAAAAAGCAAGAACAGATGGCCTAATAGCAGAGTCAAAAAACACATTCACTGATCTGATAGCTTTTAAAAGAAATAGAGTCAGATCTTTTGTAAAAATACATGAGTAAGCTTGAACAATAAGATGCCATTTGGAAATGGTACGAGAGACAGAAAGATGAAGGAAAAAGGGAAACTTGAAGAAAGGGAGAGGTTAGACCTTTATAAATTACTTCAGATTGAAGCAGAAACAGAAATGTAAACATTAATCTGTAATAAATAGAATGGAAGATAGCTGATAAAGTGACAGGAGGTAAATTAGAAGAAAGGTCAGGGTTCCACTAAGGTGAGAAGAATGTTGTTAGAACACTAAAACTAATAAAGAATCCTAGATTCTGTGGCAGAAAACTAAAAAACAAATTCACACTCAGAGAAGAACTGCTTTTGATGGAGTTACACATCAGTATGAGGTCCACCTTGAAGATCAACATTCAAACAAAAGCCAAAGCAACAACAGAATCCACCTAGCATCACCACCCATTTTCTCACACCTCCTGACATTAGCAAATTAAGTCATTTGATGATGAGTGAACTGCTGCTTTAAAAAAAAAATAAAACTGGAAAATATGAGTCACTGAAAGAGTCAAAGATATAAAAAAATTAAGCTAGACTTCAAATGGAAGTATTATTCAGTTTCAGAAAAAAAAAAAAAAATGCCATCTCTCTCCGGGAAGAAGTCTCCTCCGGGAAGAAACTGGCCAAGCATACAATATTTTAGCTCTTTACCTGAAGGCGAATCTGACTGCTCATCAGACACCTTTAATGGTGTCAAAACAACACGAGGAACAGTCTTGTTTACCATCATTGAGACTCCATTTCTTCTTTTCTGCTGCTGCCTCAAAGCCTATAAAATATGATAATAAAATGTAAAAATGTAGCCACAATGATTTCTCATAATTGAATTAAATGATCCACTTGCCTGTCATTAGCTAGAACCTCTTAAGAGACTTAAATTCCACAGAGCTCCTCATCTGTCAGATTTCTAATAGTTACCTCCATGTCATTTTCCCTCAAAAGCAGAAAATCTGGCTTTGGCAAAGGGTATAAGCCTGAGACCATTTTTGGTATAATTCTGACAAAAAAGCAGCTCTTAACAGTTTATTCTACCTTAGAAGTGTGGCTTGAGAGCCCATGGAATTTGAAGCCTTAACTCCAAAGAAAAATAAATGTAAAATAAATGTTTCGAAACCAGGATAAAAATATATGTGTCTGCACTTCTCTTGCAGGTGCGTCGTCTCCAGTGCACTGCTCAGTCAATCAGTTAACACCGGGTGTCATCAGTATGTACAGCGTGTAAGAACTACTGTATTGATGCATTCACTCAGCCGTGGGGAGCGCTGCACAAAATCACTGAACATGGCAGGAATCATTTATTTCTGTGAAGGGAATCAGTCCTAATCTTGGAAACCTTGCAGCACTTGGCTTCTGTCTGCTTGACTTTGGGCATTAACCTTCAGAACACGAACAAGACGGGGTTCGGGTAAATCCAACAAAAAATAGATACGGGAATAAATCTATCCAAATGGGATTGCTTTGTGTTTCATAAATGAATCGACCATGGTGATGATAATGTAATAAAAGGCATTTAAAAGTTTTGAAATACAGCTTTATCTAGCTGATCGCTTAATGCAGAAAATTACCTGTAATAAAAAAGGTCTTAAGCACACTAAACGTAGAGCCATTAAATCCACTCACAGGAATGCTGAAACTCCCCGAAAGGTTAAAAGGCTGGCCGCGGACAGCCTTTATATTTCTGGTTTCTGTGCAATTTCTACCAATTTTACAACATCTCAGTTACTTGATTAATGTTCTTTGACTAACAGTTGTTGGGATCCCCTGAAATACTACCTTGACTCCATACTCTCATGCTGTCAAAAACAATGTCATTTTATTTGCACAGGATATCAGCTGAATGGTCAACATGTTGGCCATAAGATTTAGCAATCAAATGATTACAGAACTGAAAAATTAAATAGCACTTAAATGAGAGAAGGCAAATTCAGCTGAGATTGAAAGCTGTATGAGAAATGAAAATGTTGGGAAATCTATTCTAAATGATATGGTCGCTAATGATAACACTAGACAGCTCCCTTTGATTCCTACACTTAGAGAGCTCTTATAAAGTACCAGGCACTGTGGGGGAAAAAAGATACAAAGATTAACACAATACTGTCCTTCTCACCTTTAGCCTGCCATCAATAATATATTTAATGAGAGCATATGTGCTCTAAAATACTTAAGATGTGTTTTTTTTTCTTCCAGGCATATATGCGACTGCAAACAAACTATGCACATACTTGCATAAATCTCTCTTATGTTGTAATAAGAACTACAAGCACTTTGTAGACATTAACCTAATGATCCAATAAAACAGAAGACACAACACAGTACTTTAGATAACAGTTAAGTTCACGTTGCCCACTATGTAAAACTTCACAAAAGAATGAAGCCTATATATAAAACAGTGAATTTTCAGAGTCTATGTTAAACAGATTTTAACTTCTTGTCTTAGAAAAATATAAAGACATCCTAAAAATATTCAGTGTGTGTACATATAAAGTTAGAGAATTTATTTTAGAAAACATTGGCTAAGAAAAAAGATGACATAACTAGTGGCCTAGAATCTGGAATTGGAAGTCAAAGATGACATGCTTTTTGAGAGCATTTGAGCTAAATAATAATTTAAGACACAAAAATGTGGTCTTCCATTTCTAGAGCCGAGAGGAATCTACAATAGAAAAATCAGCAACCAGAAAGAAACCACAATAGAATTAATTTAAGAATAAAAACCCATAGCCATTTTCAATTTTAAAGAGTAAGGCAGTGATAAAGAATGCTAACAAATATTGAGCCTACTTTAATAATTTTTTGGACTAGCATTTCCTGTTCAGAAAAATCAAACAATATTTGTCAACACAATATTTTTTAAATACTCACATATACCATATGGGCCTGGAGATGACCAAAATTAAGGACCCATCATGTCAGAAAAATAGCTTTTAAGTATATTAAAAATATACACTTTTTTATTTTTGTTCCCAAATACCTCTAGAGGAAGATAAGCAAAACTTGGGAAGTATATATTTACTATGACAATAATGCTAGAGGTAAGGTAGTAGGTGGTGAGTCCAACTCAGGCACACCAGGATTCAGTTACCAGCACAGCAAACGAGCATCTGGATTTCACAGTCTATATGCTGTTATTTTAAACTGAGTCTGTGCTGGTCTTGAGGTATCCTACTCACTTTCTAGGAAGCAGGATTTGTTTGACACCAGAGACTAGGGTACCTTCCATGCATATCAGAATGATGTCAAAAGGAGAAAAAACAATACTGCCCCTGTAGAGATGCTGGGGAGAGCCTGGGTGATACTAACCTACTGCACCTAGACAATGCTCCTGTCCACATGGCTCCTGGTCCTTGCACTCTGCAAGGAAAGAGGGCTAGCAGGTTTTCTTGGGGGCTGGGGGGGTAATGTAAATATTTCTGCAATTATAAGCATATCAACCACTCAAATACAGGCTGCCATGTCCTTTTCCCAATACTCTACAAAGCATGAAATGCGTTTTGGGTCAGGGCAACCTGGGGGGCGGGTAAGACAGAACAGAAAGAGATAGTACAGTGAGCAGGAACACTCATTTCCCATCAGAAGGACCATTGTTGCTACTCAAAAAAAGTATCAAATCTAGATTTTGTTTTTCACTACTGGATCCTAACAGGAGGGCTCTTCACATGCTAGGCAAGCATTGTACCACTGACCCACACCCCAGTATTTTGTAATTTCAAGACAGAGTCTTGTCGAGTTACCCAGCCTGTCCTCAAACTTGCTATATAGCCCCAGCTGGTTTTATAATTATGAGCTTCCTGTCTCAGTTTCTTGAGAATGTGTCAACCATGCCCAGATCAAATCTAGATTTTTAGTTGCGTTTTCCTATTTTTAAATTATGAGTCAGAACAAATGAAGATGCAGTTGGGCCAAATGCAGTCCTCGGGCAGAAATCTTTGATATCTACTAACCACCATTCTGCCCACAATATGGATATTAAAGTGCTTCTCCTCTGAGTTGCTATCTGCTGAGGAACTGGGCTTTCTGCAGAGCTATTTGAATGGCTGTGTAATGCAAATGCAATGGTCACAAGGCTTTACAGCAAGTGAAAGATTTAACTATATCTGTGTAATGGTGGGCAAGTTACTTGGGTAAATGTCCCTGTTAAACAGAGACACTGATGAGGGCAAGATGCTTTAAATAGGAAGTCTACAGAACAGTATTTTTCACAAAATATTCAATAAATGCTATTTTTTACTATTCATATGATGTATCAATTCTGCAACAATGCATTTGCTGAAGACTTACATACTACAGTGTAAACTCTGCTAATTCATAGCAGTGAACATGACTAAAGTTTTAATTATTTTACATTTTGGCTAGGACTAAGAATGAGAATGAACAGTAAGAATTTGTCTTAACCAGAACTGTCATTGTCATGGTATCAGACAAGCATCCAACTGCTACAGTTTTGTTTTTTGGCTTGAGACAAGGTCTCATCTATGTAGTCCAGGTTAAGCTCAAACTTGTATTCCTCCTGCCTCAGCCTGCAGAGTGCTGACATTACAGGCATGCACCACCATGCATGGCCAACAGCTAGATTTTTGTAGGCTGCATTAGTGAATACTTTAGAGACTTTGTGGGGAGCATTTGATCCTACATTCTACCCTGATGTGGACCATGCCACTGTTGATGGCCACATTCCAGGATACACCTAAGCATAAGATCTATCCATTCTACTTCTACCTAGCCAGGCAGCCTTCCTGAGCATGGTCTTTACAAATCCTCCATGCTTGGCTAAATGTTTACCACCTTCTCAAGCCACAAGTACAGTCTGCAGTCTTGTTCCACCACACACAGTGTAGCTTGATTCATTCCTTCTGCCCAGCCATTACAATCAGCCTTAAGAATTCTCTTCAGGTCTCATAATCCTTCAAATTGCAGGAATACAAGGTGTGGAGTACACTGTGCATATATGCTGTCTGTGTATGATGAATCTGGAGCCAGTTTTTTAAAGATCTACTGGGGAATGATTAGTAGGCCATCTAGCCTCCCCTCAGTAAGTCCTCTGGGGCTGTGTCTAGCACCTCTCTTCAAAATGGAGAATACTGACACCATGTTATTTTCACCTTTTAGTTTTTGCTAAAATTCCAAGAAAACAAAAAAGATTGCTTTATTATATGTTACAAAAATAATAGATGTTATCTTCAATTTAACATAATTAGCTAAATATGAATACCCCATGCCTAAAAAATAAGTTCATGTAATATATAGAGTAAGAAAATAGGATTAGGAGAGCTACTTTAGGACTGTGGATAGTGTACCCTGTACAAGAGTACCTTAAAAGGGGTTCATTCTTGCTATGATGCCTTGGATGTGTGTGGGGGAAGTCTTTTCCTACTCCATACCTGGCTAGTGGTGGCCCCTGTTGAGTTTTGGCATCAATATTATTTAATCAGTCTTACTATTTACCATGCATTCATTTTATGGGTATGATTATCACTGGATACTTCCAATTGCTCTATGTTGGAATGCTAATAGTTTATCTTAATGAGCAACTGAAATCCTATCATTGTAAATCCAGAAAGAAGCAATGTCAGAACTTAAATAAGCAAGTAGATGGTAAGTGTAAATTCAGTCTACTATGAAGGAATGTACCTTCAAGCTGGTCACATGTCTAATGTGCTACTGCTTAAACTACTGAGAGTGAAATGTCAATACCTATGATGTTCAAGAGTACAATTAGACTTACCAAGTTTGATACATGTAGTTCCTATTTAATAAGAAAGAAATTTATAGGCTTAAATCTAAAAGCAATCTTACTTTTTAATGGAAACAAACCTAAGAGAACTAAATCACTCTAGGCAATGTGAAATGACTCAGAGCCACATCAATTTAATTCTGGCTTTAAGTGAAAGGAAAGAAATCAAAAGATGCTGACTGAACATGCTTCTCTCTCTCCAGATACAGTGCAATATTTTCTTAAAAAAGAGCAGGAAAATACCTTTAGATAA